GACATGGATTTACATATGTATCCGAATGTTTTTAAATGGTGTTATATATACACAACTTAGGTCTTTTTTTGCTTCATTTTCAGTGTCTGCAAAAGATTTGATTTTGTATATAGTTTTCTTTTTTACAATGTATTGAATAAAAATAGAAATGAAAAAAGCAAATCAATCCAAATATTTAAATTTACTATGACAAAAGAAACCCATTGTTATTCTCAATGATATTTTATTCTACTGGATCTTATAATGGTAAAAACAAGACTCGAAATGATTCACAAAAGATTTATCCATTAGAATACTACCTAAATGAATCATAAAACTAACAAAAGCAAATTTATATGATAAAACATTTTTTTTTCAAGAAAAACTGAATTAAAGAATATTTATTAATCTACTTTTTTTTGAATTTTAGATAATGCCCTATCCAGATGATATACCTTTTATTCATGGACTCGATTTAAGTGAACGATTCTTTTTTGATATTGTTAAACCATTACTTGATGAATATTATCCTTCACTTCAATATACAGCTTGTCGTTTAGGATATGGTTCTGATGTACTTGGTTTTGATACAATTCAATCTCGTGATCATGATTGGGGACCAAAATTAGAACTCTTACTTGAAAATGAAACATATATTAATGAATTAAATTTATTTTTTAATAAAAATCTTCAAGATAAAACAATTTGTGGTTATTCAACACAATTTCAAACATATATTGAAGAAGATGGACATAAAACTCTTATAAATGTATCTAATAATCAAGAAAATACATGTCATGGTATTTATATAATTACAATGAAACAATTTTTTATTGAATATCTTAATTGGACAATAAATAATGGTGAACCAACATTTCAAGATTGGTTAACATTTCCTAGTCAACATTTATTAACTATAGTTCGAGGTCGAATTTTTCATTATTCTAATCATATGAATATTGAATATATTCGATCACAACTTACTTATTATCCAAATGATATTTGGTTATATTTAATTGGTTGTTGTTGGCAACGTATTGGACAAGAAGAACATTTAATGAGTCGTGCTGGACAAGTTAATGATGAACTTGGTTCATCATTAATTGCAAATCGTCTTATACGTGATATAATACGTCTTATTTTTCTTTTAGAAAAACAATATTATCCTTATGCAAAATGGTTTGGTACAGCATTTCGAAAATTAACAATATATGGTTCAGATTTAGAACCAATACTTCGACAAATACAATTAACAAATACATGGCAAGAACGTGAACATTATTTTAGTATAGTTTATGAACGTTTAGCAAATATAACAAAAGAAAAATTATTTAATAAAAATGAAACAATTATTATTAATACTAAAATATCTCAATTTCATAATCGACCATTTCAAGTAATTAATGGAGGATCTATTGCTAATATTATTTTTGATCAAATAGAAAATGATAATATTCGACAGTTACCAAAATTTGGTAGTACGGATTTATTTACTGATAGTACAGATGCTATGAATATAGAATTACGTTTAAAAATGAAAAAAATTTTTGAATAAAATCATATTATATTATCTATTCTTTTTCTTGTTTAATTTCATTATCATTATTATTATTATTTACTAAATCATTTGTTGTTACTTGATCAATATCATCTTCAGTTACATTTGGTACTTTTATATTTTTATCTTTTATCCATTGAGGATAAGCTATACATGCATTATGTGTTAATTTTGCATATAATGGAACACCAAACTAAAATAAAAATATTGATTCAAATCCATGTTTCTTTTTTTTTTTTTTTCTAATACAAAAAAATTTTAACTAACTTTAGCAGTCCAACTCCAAACAGCTTTTGGAATATTACCACGTGGATCTTCACAATATACAAAGATAGCTATAAATAAAGAAAAAAAAAAAACAATAAAAACATCATGTTTTTAAAAGTTCTATAATCAAATTTTATTAAAATTACATTTAAGACCTTTTGCACCATCTGAACAAAGTAATGTTTGTGTTTGACAAGTTTCAATACGAACAATTTTTTTTCTTGGTGGTACATTTTTAAAATGTTCAGCACGTGTCATAGCATAATAAAAATGACGATCACCTATATCATATTCACCATAATCTCGTAGGAATGTATACTATTTTATATTGATAAAAAAAAAAGTTAAGGATTTAATATTTTCAAAAAAAAAAGAAAACCTAAAATGAATTATAAAACAGATTAAAATATAAAGTGTTGGTTTCGGACCAGTTTCTGAAAATTTTCTGTTAAACCCTTCCCATTCTCAAAAATCGCTCTTGAATCAGGTACATTCAAATTGCATTCAATGAACAAGAGTCTAAAATAGCTCATTTGGCAATCCGAAATTATCTGTAGGCTTTCATTCTATGTATTTAATATTTTTATTTGAAAGAGCCTTTTTTTCTTGAATTCATAAAAAGTTCAATGTCTTAAAAAATGGTGCACTAATTATAAAAGCATTCTTTTATATAATAGTAACTAATGAAGCTCCTTCGAGAATCCTAGGATGTGTAATCAAAAAAGAGAGTAAATAGAGAGCAAAAAAAGCCGAGAAAGATTTCAAAATAAGATATTTTTTGAAATAGGTGATGACAGAAATCACCAAAAATGTTCCAAAACAAAGGAAGGTATCGAATAAAAAGATCAGGCTTCAGACTATCCTTCCATGCATTTATCTTAATTTTGACGAAAATTGATTTTTTGAAGGCCGGACGGAAACTTAACTAGATCCGGGTTCGAAAACTTTGGACCCAACGAGCTCTAATCATTTGAGAAATGCATAGAATGTGCAAGTCGCTAAACACAAAAAAAAGTATTTCGCATCTCTGAGGCTACTATCCAATTTTGATTAGAAAATTTCATTAAAAATCTCAAAACACCGTTCAATCGGGACAATGGTAGGGATCCAAATTTTTAACTCGTATACTTTAACACTCCTTTTAGATTGTATTTTCAAAAAAAAAGGATACGTCGCGATTATCAATAAACAATGGCATCGACACTTGCCAATAAACACCTTTTTTTTCTCCATCATTAATTTCTCTCGCTTCTAGAAAAAAACAAAAAAGAAAATTGGATTTATTTAAATTGAATATAAATAATTACCTTTAAGATATTTATCCCAAATTAATCGATATTCAATATCGAGTGCAACTTTATAAAAAATTTCAGGTGTTACATCAGGAATATGTGAATAACATTTATATCGTAATAATTTCTATAAAGATGATAAAACAAAAACAATACATTTTAAGAATATTATTATGATTATTAATTGATATATTTTACATTTCCTTCATCTATTCGTCGATAGACATGTACACTTGGAGTTTGAGCAAATAATTTCCAACCAGTTAAATTAGGTTTATCCATTTCTTGAATAAGTTCTTCAATAGTTAGAGATGATTCCATTGTAATATGATTTATGCTTTCAACAAATAAGATAGTGTTAGAAAGACACATAAAAAAAACAAAGATTTTTTTTCTGCCTTCTCTTATCTTTTCCTTGCATGAGATTTTCTTTGTTCACATTATTTTCTTTTTTTTTTTGTTTTTGGTTGTCGTCATTCACATAAAGCCTAGAGTATTTTCTTTCTTTCTACTTAGTATTTGTTATATCATCAAATTCATTGATGATGTGTTTTTGTTTTTCTTTATCGAATATGAATACTTAAATCGATGATATTTAAGTAGATTTATGAAAAAAAGAAATTTTATTAACAATGAATGAATTTAACATTTCTTTCTTTTTGGTTTAATTTATGATTTTGGTTCAAATATTCATCAAGAACTTTTTCTTTTTATGACTAGTTATCATATTTCTTTTTTTTTTTTTGTTGCTTCATAATCATAAAAGAGAAAACCATGCATCTTGTTTATGGAAATGTGAACGATAAATCTCTCTATGCTTTGAATCATTTCCTTTTGTTGATTTCCGCACTTTGTATAATCAAAATGAAGGTCAATAGATTATTCAGTATTAGGAAAGTTAAAGCTACAAAAAAAAATATTTATCTTTAATAAATAGACCATTAAAAATGATAAGAAAATTACATGAAAAATTATTTCATAATGTCTAACAAAAAAAAAAAAGGATCCATTTGTCACGTATACTAATAGAAATAAATAACTTCTCACAGATCATGAATTGGAATTATCTACATTATTTGATAATAAATTTACTTATTGAAATATTTCCGACTGATTAAGATTTACAGTCAACTAGCGGTGGTGCCATTCTTTTATGACTGTTAAATATGGAATGTATCAATTTCTTGTTGTTTGACATCACATATCTTTTTTTCTTTCTTTTTCTCTCTGTCACCCATGGTCTCTCTATGTATAATAAATACTCAGCTAGATAACACATTCAGTATATTTTTTTATAATTGAAAGATCATTGAGTTTGTCAACGTTGGATAGAACAATAACGAAGATTTCTGATTTTCCTTTACAAATTGAGTATACTTATTAATTAACAACAGCAAAAGAAGAAACTGGTTTTGTTTTTTGGTCATTACAATTTTGCCAACTAACTTGTATAAGTAAGTATTTGATTTAGAATACAATGCACGCGAGTTCGAACTTATCGTTTGCGCATAATTCTAAATGTATATTGCAAAAGGAAAAGGAGAACATTTACATAATATTTTCTACAACATAGATACACTTGATTGTTATGATAACTTTATTTAGAGAACAGAAAAAAAACCATACAATTTCAAACGGGACATTATTCAAGCGAAGGACGTCATTATATCGATTTTTTTTCCATCGCCTGTATAATCATTCATGTACATTCTTACCATTGACTTAAGTTGCTTATCAAAATTAAGATAAGGAAGAAAAGTATAAAGCGAAAAAGAATGCAATGTTGAAGCGATTATTAATAATATATATGCGATTGAAATTTGAATAACGAAACACAAACATCACGTTATTAATTGTATATTAAACCAAAATTTGTTTGTTTTTGTTTTTTTTCTTCGTCAATTATGGTTTGTCGCAATAAAATTGAATTAAGTATTTGGCAATTATGTTTCTTAATATCTCTTTCATTAATTTCTATTGTTATTGCTATATTTGGTTGGTTTCGTACAATAGATCCAATTGTATATGGTAAATCATCACATACATATCGAACTCAAATTAATAATGTTACATCATTTGTTGATACACATCAACGATTACATTCATTTCTTGATGATATTGGTTCACCACCTAAACTTAATAATCCACAGTCATATATACAATGGACATTTCTTCAAATGAATGATGTTTATGAACTTATACCATTAAGTGGTGGTAGAAAAGGTGGTTTAGCTCGTGTAGCAACCATACGACAATTACTTCTTCAAGAAAATCCACATACAATTACAATACTATCTGGTGATGTTGTTAGTCCATCAGCTTTAGGTATGAAAAAACGTTTTGTTTTGTTTTTTGTTAAATTATCAAACATAATAATCTTATTCTTTTTTTTCTTTTATTGTAATTTAAATGAGAAAATTATAACAAGGTTTTCTATGTGACGTATGATAAAACCCAGATTAGTACGCTATGATATGTAAACACATGAGAATGACAGATGTCTTATATTAACTTTCATTCGATCAAGATTGTCTGATTGAATAAACAAGTTATTCGATTGATTTTGTCGTTATCATATTGAGTATAGTCAGCTGTACTTCACACATTTTTTCTGTTTATCAAGATCAGTATCGTTTTCTTCTGTGCGACATGAGAAACGTTATCATTGTCATCAGATTAACAAACTAAGTACAGCTGCTATATACATATGCTTATCAACAGTTTTTCATTATATATATATATATATATATGTTGAAATACATATAAAAAGAAGCATATTTTAAAATAGTAGAACCAAAAAGCAAAAAAAAATAATTAGTGAAAAAGTCAAACTATGGAATAACAATTAGTCATTTTAACATATTTCAATATCATTCAATTCTATTGAATGTATCGTATGCAAAACAATGTTTTGTCTATCCACGAAAGTTGTTGATGTCTATAATATTGCTATGATCATTAATCATAATTAGAATGTAAATATTCTAATGCATTCTATCAATACAATGGATAACTTTGTTAGGTTGAGGTTTACTATTCTTGTCAACATATCATAACAGATAAAGCTAATAGAATCTTTTCTTTACTGAGAAATGGAAGAGACGAAATATGATCGACAGTTAATTATTGACAAATGATAATGTTTATAATAACTTTTCAGCAATGTCATTTATAAAGGTTTAGTTATATGAAATCTAACAAGGGGCAGTCTTCCAAGTGACAAATCAATTTTGAATCGGAAATATATATATATTATTATGTGAATCGAAATGAACTATGAATAATCTGAAAGGAGCTCATATGTCTTAACGAAAAATAATTTATTGTAAAAGTTTCAAATCTGTTTTGATTTTCTTCTATCTTGAAATAAGAACATATTGTATAACTGCAGCTTCTTCAAAGTAATATGTTAAGTGTAAGAACTCTTTTCAGAGTATTCATAGCAGAGATGGAATCAGTTTAGGTTTTTCATAGTTAAAATCGAACCGATTCCATTTCTCGAGTACGATTGCTTCGGAACATGTGTTCAACGCCATTACAGCATAATTGTCGAATATAAATGAGTGTACTTTTACCTAAGATCGACAACAGAAGAAATAGATACCTGGTATCACATTAATACAATACATTTTATCTAAAAGGACAGCAACAATTGATAAGACCGTTTTTCTGCCCGCAAAATGTTCTATGTTTTCTGTGTTGAAATCAATCTAGTGATAACACCCGATAACAGTGCAAAAGTTCATTTCGCAATGTCTCTGAATCAATTTTTTGAGTCACCATGCTCTCCTCTACAAGGTCTCGAATATTCTAGAACCGAACAAACGATCTTTTAGAGAATTTGATACTGGAGTATTTTGTTCAGCTCTGATTTAATGATAAATTTCGAACAAAAATATTCTTATCTCTAACTTTCAATTATTTAAATATTTCTTTTTTTGTTTTGTTTTATATTTGAATATTAAAAGGTAATAGTATTGTAAATGGATCAATGTTAAATGGAAAACAAATGATTGCTACATTAAATGTTCTTGGTCTTGATTATGCTACATTAGGTAATCATGAATTTGATTTAAGAGAAGAAATATTAAGACTTCGTTTAAATGAATCTCGATTTGAATGGATATCATCAAATGTTTATGAAATAAATTCAACAAAACCATTTCATAATGTTATACCATATAAAATAATAACAATATTAAATATAAAAATTCTTCTTATTGGTTTAACAATTGATGATAATACGGGACAAACATCTACAACTTATGTTAATATAACATCTCAACATAATTTACCAAAATTTACAGCACATTATATAAAATATCTTCGTTATAATTTAAATTTAACATGGGATGTATTAATTGTTTTAACACATTTAAATATGCATAATGATATTGAAATAGTTGAATATAATCCTGATATTGATGTACTTATGGGTGGACATGAACATGAAAATTATTATTTAAAACGTGGATCAAAATATACACCAATATATAAAGCAGATGATAATGCATTTACTGTATTTATACATCGTTTTGCATATCAACCAAAAACAAAACAATTATTAATTTTTTCTAAATTAACACAAGTATCACAACGTTTTTCTGAAGAACCTGAAACAGCTAAAGTAGCAAATTATTTTTATCAAGCTGGTTTACAAGCATATAGAGATGATGGTAATTAGGTTTTTTTTCTTCTCGACTTGTCATTCACTATATATTATAAATGTATGTTCATTGTAAGACCATATTCATAGAACATGTACCAAAGAAACATTTTAAGAGAGGATTCGTCAGATAATCACCCAAGCTATCTGCCGCTTAAGATTTTTCTTTTTTGGATTTTTTCTATCTCTGATTGTTCTTTTGAAAAGAATTCTCTACAAAATGAACTATACTAGTTGTCATTATAATAAGTTTTAGTAATCCATCGTGTCTCCACAATAGAACGGAAGGAGTCTATGTTTGATAGTTGTCCTTTCAGTAGTAATTTGTCTCTAACCTCGTCGAGTCAGAACGTCCTAAAAAAATGAATCTAGTTTCTGAAAGCTCTTGAATCTCTACATCTTTCGATATATTATTCAAAATTCAAAGAGAACAAAATAAATAGCATATTTGAAATTAGCACAAAAAACTAGATCGGATCAAATACATATATAACTGTGGAATTGGTTATTGTTTCAACTTTATAAAGTGTACATTCAACTAAATAGCGTTTTTATACTCAGTTTTTAATATTGATTATGAATCTGAAATCATATTTTTATTTCGAACGAATTTAGTCTATATAGTGATCAATGGCAAGTCAAATTATATATCAAAACATGCAGAATTTCAAGAATTTTCGACAACTAGATTCATTTTTTTGAAACGGAATGATTCGACAAGGTTAGGAGTTTCCGACTGTAGGCTGCATAATTTCCTTGAAACCAATGAGATGATCTTTTGAAAGATGCAAAAAACAGTTTGAACAGAAAATTTTTTTGTACACTTTTGTACTTTCATTATTGCAACTCGACACCATTATCAATATATTAGCTTGTAGAGTAAAAGCTATCCTGCAAAATGTACTATTGAAGTTCCTTATTTTTGAAGAATCGACTTTTTGATCAAAGGGAGCTCTTGGTAAAGTACCTATAGTTCCGCTTAGGTAAAAGTCAAAGCTTAGTTCAATATAAAATTTTTTAAAGAAGTGTCCATTCGATGAAACAATCGACTTGAATATTTTTTTGGTCTTTAAAAATATCCTTTACTAGTTTCGAATAGTATTTCTAATCTCAGAATTCTAATTTTCGACTCACCCGTTATATTAGAATAAACCAGCGATAGGTTTCTATTTTTCAGATGTACTTGTCATGATTGACAAAGATTCGAATTTTTTATCTCATACTTCAACATATTTTTCTGATCGTGTTTCACAAATAAGATTGGATTTTAAAGACAAAAATCTATCATATGTAGTTGATTAGTCTCTGATTTATAACTCCAATTATGTTCTTGTACCAAAGCTGCTCCTTAAAGGGTGATTCATAAATTCTGGATCTCGACGAAAATTAGTTTATATATAAACAAAGAATCATCCCTACTCAGCTATATTCATACGAACTTCAAGTACTTAGGACCATGGTTTAAATGATGTATTATCTGATGACATTATCTCTTTTAATAATAGTGATATAAACAGAAAAAACGTGATAATTAGGGTAATGATTTTACGTTGCATATGATAAATTGATAGTTCATTAAAGCTTCTTTTAAAAAAAAATACTGTTCGATTTCGAGATTTTAATTATCATGTTTCTTGTGTTTATATCACTATCACCCTTTATACTTTAAAACTAGAGAAATGAACAACTCGAGTTCAATTTCAAATTTTTTAAATAAATAGTATTTCCATGAAACTTTCTGAAGATGTTCGACTAATGAAAGTACACTAATAAAAACAAATTTCACGACACCAAATCTTATCATAGAAGAGATTTCTAGGAATCATAGTACAACATAGAACTTTCAAGTGTGCAAATTTTTTCTACGATAAGAGGCCGTAGCTACCATGGCGCTTTTAATTTTTCTATGGATATGGTATTGGTCTTTTCACCGTAGAGTTCTATAAATTGATCATAATTTCTGAAGAAATCTTTTAAACTTAAATGTCATTCTTATGAATTTTTAAACTAGACCATCTTAGAAATCATATCTATCTCAAAAAGTGTGGGACTAGAAGGACTCTTCCTCATGTAAGGCCATTATACTGATTTTTTTTAACTTTCGCACAACATTTATAAAAAAGTTCGTTTGTCCGATATTATTTTTATAAATATCGTGTAAAGGTAAAAAATCAGTATAGTGGCCTCACATCGAGAATAATTCTTCTAGTCTCAACTGACTAGGATCTCATCTCAGACGCAAAGTATTACATCAAATAGTTCCCTTGTAAATGCTTTCACCTATTTATATTGTACCTAGGTTATATTCCTGAAAGTATAATATGTGTTTTACCTGTTGGACTTAATTTTGATGGTCGTTCAGCAGTCATACGTGCTCAACAAACACATTTAACAACTGCATTATGTAATGCTATGATGGATGCAACTAATACAACAATATGTGTATTTAATGCAGGTGCTATTCGTGTTGATGATCAATTAATGGGTATAATAACTCAATATGATGTATTACGTTGTTTACCATTTTCAGCTAATCTAATATCATTGCGTGTTAATGGTACAACACTTGTTAAAGTTTTAAATCGTGGTTTAAT